AATAATATTTCACAATATTACATTTTTTCCTGTATTTTTGATCAAATAAATGCAGCCTTGATGAGCATAAGAAACCCCATTAAAAAACATTAAAAATCATTCTGATCCCAAACTTTTGACTGGGATCTTTTGATTTTGAAATATATATGTATATATATATATATAAAACATTAATATTATTTATAATATTAATAGTATTAATGAATAATAATATAAAGATAATAGCATATATTTTAATATATAGAAAAATAAATGAATGAATGATAATATATATCACTCGTTTTATATATATATATATATATATATGTGTGTGTGTGTGTGTGTGTGTCTGTATACGCACACACACATCTTTGACTTCATGAATGAACAAATGAACAGAAAAAAATATCGACATGCCATAACATCACTCATCTCTTATTATTGTACCCAAAAGATGGTTTACATAGGAACATAATTCTGTGAAAATAACACTCAAGAAATCATAATGGCAGATCAAAAATAGCCACATACGCAGAACCAATTCTGAATACACAAAGAGAGTCTGACAAAAGCCTGGACATTAGTGCGGCTCTGATTCATTCTCATTCAGACCTCAAGGTGAAAGATTGGCCACAGCGACGTTTGCCGTAAGCATACATACATTATACATGCTCTCTTGTGTTGGGAAATGCTTTTATTTTAGCTAGAAAGGAAATATGACAGGAAAAAGCAGATTTTTGGATTAGAGTTTGATTATAGTTCAGTCATGCAGAAGATGCAAAGCTACATGACGCAAGAAAAGCCTTCAGGGAAACCTTTTAGATTTAGACCCAAAATGCACACGCCGTTGCTTCCCAAACACAAACAGACACACAACCTTGTATTTATAAACTCCTGGGAAGATTAAAAAAATGATCCTTATTAATAAAAGCTCACTTTAGTTTCCATACAATCAGAGAAAATACACCTTTTGGTATTTTAGGATTAGAAAAGTCATCTTTCCAAACTCACATACGGTTTATATGAACTTTAGCAGACAGAGAGAGCGGATGGTGATGCTTCAGAAAGGATAAAAAGCCTGTGACAGTAGCTGTCAAAATGCATTCGATTCAAAACCAATGACATTAGATGTCAAAATGATAAATAGTGAGCTTAAATTTGGGTTTGTTCCTCACACAAAGCAATCATATGACTTCTGATGACTACTATGGACTATTAAATGATGAAACTTTAATGGTGTCTTCACACCCTTGACACTTTTGTAGTACAGAAAAAGAACATTATGAAGAACATTTTGCTAATTTTCTGATTTTTTGTTCAACATGAGAAAGAAAATCACAAGTGTTTGGAACAAAATGAGGGTGAATAATGAAACAGGGTTATTATAGTTAACAAAAACTAAAACTAGACTTAAACTAAACTTACTGTTTCCAAACCAATGTCAGCAAAATGTTATATTTAAAGAAATACATATAATATTTCATTTATTAAAGTTAACTAAAACTAATTCTAAAACCATTTTAAAACATTTTTGTTACTTACTAAATAATAAAATAAATGATAACTAAAACTAGAACTAAAACTAAAAGAAAAACTAAGTGTCCCCAACCCAACATCAGTAAAATGTTATATTTAATAAAAAAAAATGCATTTAATATTTAATTTATTATAGTTAACTAAAACTAATTATGAAACCCATTAAAACATGTTTGTTACTTATAAAACAATAAATTAAATGTTAACTGAAATAAAATATATAAAAAAAAACTAAACGTATTTTAATTTGAGCTAGTTGCCAAAGCAACATTTCTCATTTTTATTTAGTTTAACTTGATGCACTAAAATAACTGAAACTAAAACTGAAATTAAAATGAATAAAAACGATATATTTAAAAATATTTGTAAAAAACGATTAAAAAAAACGTAAGAAAATAACTAAATTTTAACAAAACTTAAAATGAAAACAGATCATTCAAAAATAAAAACGAATTAAAATATTAACCAATATAATAAAAACTAAATGAATATCTCAATATACTAAAATATTACTATAATGAAAAAAAAAACTTTTTGGGTGCGTTGTTTTTTTAAGATGTTATTTGCCCCTTTATAAGTCTTTTTTATAAGAGATTTTTTCAAGTTATGTTATTTTTTTGGATATTTTTTGGAAATTTTACCCACACAATAATTGTGAAAGCTGCCCACAAACACAAACACAAACACAAACACACACACACACACACACACACACACACATGTTGTGTTTCCATGTTTTATGGGGACATTCCATAGGCATAATGGTTTTTATACTGTACAAACTGTATGTGCTATTGCCCTACACCAACCCTACCCCTAAACCTACCCCTTACAGGAAACTTTGTGCATTTTTACTTTCTCAAAAAACTAATTCTGACACACACACACACACACACACTCACACACACACACACACACACACACACACACACACACACACAAATCTGTCAGGTCTGATATGTGTTTCTACAATCACCCTGAGTTCCCTACAGGGCTCTTAAAGCAATGTGCACAGGATTCCTATCAGAATTCAACCTCGGACACCATTTAAAATGATCGTAATGGGATCAAATGAGATCCTGCTGCCTGAAGGATTTTTTTCATCTTCGAGTCCTATCGGATGTTGTACTTTATCGGATCTGTTGTACAGTATTGGAAACATGTCCTGCTACTCGACAGTTGAAATAAATCATGTAGAGTTGAAAGAGCTGCTTTCAAAATGCATTCTGATCCTACAACAGATTTCATGATAGCTTTAGTTTTGGGTTATGCTGGAAATTCCTATAAGTTTTGTAAAAAATGATGATTAAATTCCAATAGGAGACCTGTGCACATTTTGACTGGGGCTTGTAGTGATTCTGATTGATTTTTCACATCATTTTATAGTGATCTTTTTCAAGTTTAGACAATGATCGTGACACAGTCCAGGAATGTGAATAAATGCTGACGCGCAACAATCGGATTAATCTCTGTGCCTTTCACAGTTTATTGACTCCAAACCAGTGTCAGCAAAAATGGAATCTGCTCATATCTGAGGAGAACTAATATCTCAAGACGACCAGAGGAAAATCTAATTTCTCAGATCTGATGCTGTCGTTTCATTACTCAGGAGATGTCGAGTTCACATTTCATTTTCTTAACTTGTCTTCAGATGTTTCTCCTTTTTAAAAAATTAACGTGGAGAGCAGGTCAGATCATTTGGATGAGTTACACACTGATGTTTAATACTTATTATACGTTTTTTTCAGATCGCTAACCTTAAATATGAACAATAGTAATAATGATTCTTGACATAGGGAACACCACTTACAATTTACACTTAAATTGTATGATTGTATATATATTCAAGTTATATTCCAATATATATATACATATATATATATATATATATATATATATATATATATACATGCATACATACACACACACACAAGGGAATTTTGCTAGTAAAAAAAAAAATAGAAAGTCTATAAACTATGCAGAGTGATGTGCATACAACAAGTGTTATTTTAGTATCATTGAGATACTATTATTGTTTTTATTAATCTTTTTAAAGTTTTTATTTTTATATAATTTTAATATATAAATGATATTATTATATATATTATATTTTATATGTATTTTTAAATGTTAATTTATAATTTTAATTTTAAAATTTTATTAATTTGGTTGTGAATTTTGTCATTTGAGTTTTTTATTTTTATTTTAGTATATCAGGTTGAAATTAAGAAAATAAAAAAATAAATAAAAATAAATGAAAATCTATCTGAAATAAAATAAATTATAAATCAGTATATTTTATTTCAGTTGAGTTAACATTAATTTTATTTAAAGTAACAATTTTTTTTAATGGGTTTAGATAAAAATAATAACCCACACTCAACTTGTCACAAGACACAAATCCTAACAATCAAACATCAATGCATTTGGTTGTGTGCATCTCAGCATAGTTTGAGATCTCTCTTAAACCTCTAGAAGAGACACGTGTGAAATCACATCTGAGAAGCAGGAGACGTCGAACAAAGTCTCTGTTTTCTCTCAGTTGCTGCCTGTGAGAATGACCATTATAAAGGAGGTGTCATCTTCAGAGGAAAAACTGAAACCGAAAGTGTTTACTTCCAAATAAACAAGGATAATTTCGCAATATGTGAGCACTCTATAAACAGTGTGCGGTGTGTTGTTCATTAAACGTGTCACAAGACGTGAATCATGACAAACAGTGCCAGTATCTCAGATGACTAACATAAACAAACGGGACGGTAAGCGCGCACTCATTTCTCCAACTCACGTGGGCTTGTGGGAATCAAGTTATGCTGAAAATCCCCTTTTCTGGGGCCGAGCGTCTCTCTCTCTCTCTCTCGATCCCCTCCCCACCGCTCTCTCTCTCGATTTCTGGCTCATGTTAGATCCTGTCTGCTTCAGCAACATCCGAAACCCCACCTCCTCCTGTCTCTCTCCCTCCCTCTCTCCACCTCGTCTCAGGCGGCGTGGAATCCTGGCTGTGTTTAATTGCAGAGTGGTAAGATCTGAGGGAAAGATCGGGAGCTGCTGTGTCTGTCAACGCTTTACGAGCCCCAACCCCGGGAGAGAGAGACAGGGAAGGTGTAGGAAGGAAGTGTTTGGAGTTTGGGAACGGGTGAGTTGGGGAATTTGTACGCAGTGGGGAGGTGAAGAAAGAGGTGAAACGCTGAAGTAAGACTTCAGAGTTGGAGGGAAAAAAAGAGGGAGGGAAAGAAAAGAGGCCCACCGTTGGAGAAAGGGCAACAAGAGGGAAAAGTGGGAAAACAAGAATAAGTTAGAAAAAGGAGGAAGGAAGGAAGGAAGGAAGGAAGGAAGGAAGGGGGAGGTGAGCGAAAAGTTAGAGGGAGCGAGAGAGACAGTCAAACGCAGTGAACGAGAGGAGACGCAGATGAGAAAAACAGACGTTGTGGATGGCCTGGGTGGAGAGAGAACCAGTTGTTTTCTAAGTCGCCTTCTGGACTGGAATGCACTCGGAGAATTTGAGATTCCCGACGCCTTACTGCCAACTTTGCTTGCGACACGCGCTGGGCCCCGCCGACGGATCATGTCTGCGTATGGAGTCCAGCGTAGCCCCGTTCCCGAAGGAGTTGGGTATGGAGCGAGTGGAGAGGACTGGAGCATCTCCGGTTTACGCCGAGGAGATCCGGCATCCGTGCTACAGGTGGGACTCGCCGTGCGTTCGGGAGATCCGGCGGGAGTGCGGATGCGTCCAGCGGTGGTATTACCCGGAGCTGTTGCATCCCTTCAACGGCGACCATGTTTTGAAGGTCAGAGGGCAGCGGTGCTACTCATCCTACATCCAGGAGTGGGACAACGTTCATCAGCCTGAATACAACGGACATTGCGAGAGGAGACGGGTGTCATTCCGGCATCACGAGGAGCGACCCGAGACTGGCAGACAATCACACTGTAACGGGCCGAGCTCTGGACACGGGGGTTTTTTCCCAACCGAGGTGCCCTCCAGCAAGTTGGGATGCTCCAGGGCACTCGGGAACGGGCTGCAGGTGAACGGACCGCAGCGGGAAGTAAGGACGTCTCGGGGGGACGCAGGTCTGGAGAAACATGGCAAGCAGAGGAAGAGCCAGGGAACAGTACGGGAACAGATCAAAAAAGTGGTCACAGAGCTCGAGGAAGTGCTGGGTGGTCTCAAACAGGTCCAGTTGGAGATGAAAGAGGTGAGGATCGAATAATAAATAGAGGGAGTGATGTTAATTGTTTAATGAAAGATCAAAAATTAGGTCTTGAAAGTTTTAAAGGGATAGTCATGCCAAAACAAAAATTCTGTCATTATTTACTCATGAATGAATGAGGAAAGCACAGAAATTTGACTTTTTCTTAAAGGGATAGTTCATCCAAAAATGTAAAAATTCTGTCATCATTTACACATGAATTCATGAAGCAAACACAGAAATTTGACAATTTTTCTTAAAAGGATTATCTAGCCAAATATTAAAATTGTGTCACAATTTACTCAGGAATGCATAAAGAAAATTCAGAAATGTTATTTTTCTTAAAGGGATAGTTCACCCAAAAATAAAAAGTTGGTTACCAGTTACTCAAGAATGCATGAGGAAAACACATATTTTTTTCTTAAAGAAAGACATATTTCATCCTAAAATGAAAATTCTGTTATACTCTTGAATGCATAAAAAAAATAAAATTTGACTGTTTTTTTCTTAAAGGGATAGTTCAACTAAAAATGAAAATATGGTCGTCATTTACTCAGTCATTTATTCAGGTATTTACTCATGAGTGCATGAAAAATACTTTTCGTAAAAGCAGTTCACCCAACAATGAAACTTGTCATAATTTACTTATTAATGCATTATGAAAAATCACACATTGAACATTAATTTTTCCTTAAAGGAATACTTCATTCAATCAATAAAAAGTAAGTAAGTTGGTACCTAAACATCATTGGACCCCACTGACTGACATAATATATGCACAAAAAACTGAGACATTTCGCAGAATATCTTCTGTTTCACAGAAGTCATACTGGTTTGGAACAACAAATGGCCAAATGAAACGCTGTGAGTGACAGGCTACTATTTATGAGTTTTCTTCATGCATTCATATATAGTAAACATTCATATAACGAGATTTGTCACTGATTTGGGGTTCAGCATATTTGAAATGGGATTTTAATAAGCACAGAGACTGGATAAGATCAAAACTTCATTCTGTTTAGCCAGTGGAAATATAATATCTGTGTGTTCATAGCAAACATCTTTGTGATGAATCTATTCTGAAAACATCGTCTGAAATCCTTCAGAACCCAAAATACACATCTGCCAGAAATGCACTGACAATAATATTCAGATCTGGAAATATTCCATTGGAAGCTATATTGTGAAGAGGAATATTGTATTTTCTGGAAGGGAAGGGACCGGTCCTTAAGTCCATCACAAAGGCTTGTTAAAAGAGAACAGAATCTTAGTTAAAATCAATACCTAAAGATAGCTCAATATGTGCAGACTGACATTAGCAATAATGGACTGTGCAGGACGTAAGACATTAATTGAATTATTTAGATACGTTTCAATGGATGCATCAAGATTCCCATTAGATGTAAATGACTGCAGCAGGAAATAAAGTCAGTAGATTAATGCATCACAGTGAAGGTTAAAAGAAAGAAAGTTATTTTTCTGCTATATTAACCTGATGATGGACTGTGAGGATGTTTAGAACAAACTTTTCAGCGTTTAAATAGTTTCTGGTGTGTCAGTTTAATGTTCAGAGTCACTACCAGTCAGTCATTGGCAGTTTGACTTCTTAAGGTGATGCTTGACATGTCAACTTCTGACTCAGCCAATGGTGTGAGTTTAGGGGCAGGACTATGATTAATTATTGTCAGACAGCTTTAGGTAGAAGTGTCTGGGAAACCTGTTTGGAAACCAATCGCTGTATTTGTTAAGTCGTGCTGCTAGTGAAGGTTGCACAGTTTACCTTTAAGAAAAATGTTAAAATATAATAAAAAATGTAAATTAAAAAAATTATATATATTATATATATATATATAATAATAAAATAATAATTTAAAAAAGAAAATTCTGTTTTCATTTACCCACCATTATGTTGTTCTAAACCCATTTGACTTTCTTTTTTTTGTGGAACACAAAATGTTTTACAGAGTATTTATGCTGTTTTTTTCACAATTCATATTCATTCATTCAAATCATACTCGTTACTTACTGAAAATCTTCCTTCATGTTTAAAGAACAGGGGTTTCTTAAGGTTTGAAATATTATAATAATACTGTGCACCAAAAACTAAAATGATTTCATGGCTGGAAGCATGAAAACATACCTTAGTTTAGTTTCAGTTTTTCCAGTTATGTTAGTTTTTATTTTATTTCAGTTTACAAAAATGCTTCATTTAGTTTCAGTTAACTCAATATGATTGCAAAAATCATTGGTGACAAACATGGTGCGACACATCTGGATGCATCATGTTTGAATATGTGAATGGTAATGTGAATGCAGTGGCAGAAAGGAAGAATTCCAGTGAATTACGTTTACAAAAATTAGTGCATGACTCCTTTTTGGAGTTGACAACTTCTGGCATGAAAAAAAAGTGGTTTAAAGCATCTCCTTTAGTGTTCTGCAAAATGAATAAATAAATAAAAGTTTAGAATGACATGAAGGCATGTAAATAATAACAGAATTTGTATTTTTTTTTTCTGTCTGTGAAGATTGTCCAACAGATCGACATTCTAACGTCCAATATTGACCTTGGCGAAGACGAACCAATTCTATCCAATGGACTCTCCCAAGATGCCACCAAAAGCAGTCGAACTGGTGTTGTGGCATTGATGCACAATTCAAACGGCGAAGAGGACATGTCAACTTCCAATTCCTCTCTCGCACACAGCCCTGTCACTGTGGATTTAGTTCATATTAACAGTCCTTGGCCGATGAGAAACCGCACAAGCCCCTCCCCTCCTGAGCAACGATCCGTTACTGTTGAGGATAAAGGCAAACGAGTTGTGAAACAGAGCTCAGAGACTCAAAGGACGGCCAATGGAAACTGCCTACCGCATCGAACGGCAAGGAAAGGCCAACTGGAAAACCACAGACCCCCTGTAGCTCCAGTAGTGTGCACTAACTCAAATAAAACCCACCGGCCTCCACCTTACCCTCAGAACGGACAGGTGAAGATGAGGACCCCTCCCTATCCTGGAAAACATAAGACGCTCTCCTCCACCATAGTGTAAGGACACCAAACACAGAAACCCAATCATCAGCAAAGAGGAAAACACGCACAAACACATCACACATATACTCACAGATACATTGCACACATGCTTAATCGATTACCAAGTAACTCGTCCAAATGTTTCTTGGTGACACAACTCAGGGTAAGTGGACACTACACGTCCTTAGATGAATGGTCAGCATGTGCTCGCTGTGTTTATGTTCATGCATGTGTGTATCTGCACTTCTAATCTCAAATTATCAGTTATTTATACGCTACCGTTCAAAGTTTGGGGGAAGATTTTTAATGTTTTTGAAAGAAGTCTCTTCTGCTCACCAAGGCTGCATATATTTGATTACAACTACAGTAAAAACAGTAAAATTTAGAAATATTATTACAATTTAAAATAACAGTTTTCTATTTGAATAAATTGTAAAATGTAATTTATTCTTGTGATGCAAAGCTGAATTTTCAGCATCATTTCTCCAGTCTTCAGTGTAACATGATCCTTCAGAAATCATTCTAATACGCTGATTTGCTGATCGAGAAACATTTCCGATTATTATCAATGTTGAAAACAGTTGTGCTGCCGAATATTTTTGAGGGTTTTTATATTTTGTGACATTATAAATGCCTTTACTGTCACTTTTGATCAATTTAATGAATCCTTGCTAAATAAAAGTATTAATTTCTTTACAAAAAATTGTACTGACCCCAAACTTTTCCACAGTAGTGCATTAGTTGTTTCTCCTAGATTATAATGAGATTAAATAGAGAGCAAATGGAAATGGAATGAAGCTTTTCAGTTTCTTTTGAGAAAGCTTGCTTCTCCTAAACAGTTTTAGAAGAACATCTCAACAATGTCTCAAATCGTGCTCATATTTGCAAAGATATCTAAGTCAAAGATATCCTAAAATCTTTTTAGCATCTCAAAGAGATATCAATATGATAATTTCTCCTTAAATTCTCCCAATACCAATTTATCTGAGCTGCTATTAACATTTATTACACGGCTCTGTGGAATACTTGATTCTGATTGGTCAGTCGTGACATTACGAGGTGTTTTATCCCTCAATAACAACCGGTAAAAACTAATAACACAGGCTCATCTGGGTAACTCAAGTCGGCGCTGTACTCTTGCCAGGAGTTCTTGGTGGAAGCTTTGCGTTTGTTTAGCTATTAAAATATTAAAACTTGATTTAAAATTGTATATAATTATTTAATTATGTCATCCTGGTATCGCGGACTCGCTCTCTCGTTTCATACAAATGCAGCTGCTGCCATTCTGCGATGATAGTTTTGTACGCTGTAATGGATTATAAGATAACTAACAAACTGGTAAGATTTTAAAACATTTTCGTCTTAAATCTTTTATCGCCATAATTATTTATGTGGTGAAATGTTGTGTAACTGCACCGTATCCCTTAAATGTCCATCTAGTTTGAACTTGCCGCTTGCTCGCAACTGCTGTGTTCATGGAAGCTTCAAATATTTCAACTCAAATCAATATTTCGTGTCTAATTATTTACTTATGTGGCAAGTAGCTGTGTAATAAGCGGGATAATGTACATCCAGCCGGTTGTTATCGCTGAATAACCCCCGTCAGGGTGATACAAGACCCCTCCGCTTAGTGTCGTGATCACCCTGTCGGGAGTTATTCTGCGATAACAACCGGTTGGATGTACATTATCCCCTACTATTTTTATACATGCTGTCAACAATTATCTAATTAATTTCAAATTCATATCAGGAGAAACATCTGAGATGACTCTGAGCTTTAAAAGAGCAACTTCCAATGGGTTTATTTCCCAAAACAAGTGCTGAAACATGTGCCACATCCATGTGCCTTTCAGGAACAAAACTCACTCTCTATTACAACAGGCACTATAACCATGTGTTTTTTCTTAGTTATTATTTCCCAGAAAAGAAAAGCATGGTGGGGTCTACCGGCATTGAATAATCTCCTAGTGACACAAGAAATAGAGACCGAGACATTTGTGATGAAGACAGTCTACACAATGACTCAGTGTTAACAAGGCTAACTATGCGTCATGCAAGATGTCTTCCATCTGTTTCCCAGGCTAACAGAGAGTCAATACACTGAACTTGTTTCCTCAGATTACGGCGAGCTTTGTTGTTCGCCCTGCAGGCAGAGGAATGGTGTTGAACGCTGTGCGATTCAAAAGCCGATCCTGCATGGCATTATCTCAGATCTGAGGCCGAACATGACTTTGGGACAGCTGTGCAGCTCCGTGTTGCTTTATCACACAAGAATTCAGGATACAATCAGGAACGTTTGATAAACATTCTATAAATGAAACTTCTGTCCATGGTTGATTATATCGGGTCTCCTTTGGTTATTGTTGAGGCACGTTAAAAGTTCAAACACGCAACTTCAAGGCTGGGATTTCTTGGAAAATCACCTTACGCTGCTGTAGACTAAATGCAGATAATATTATGATGTCCATCAATTAAATTATCTAGATTTATACGTGTCCTTAAAGGGATAGTTCACCCAAAAATGAAAATGTGATATTTATCTGCTTACACCCAGGGCATCCAAGATGTAGGTGACTTTGTTTCTTCAGTAGAACACAAACGAAGATTTTTAACTCAAACCGTTGCAGTCTGTCAGTCTTATAATGGAAGTGAATGGGAATCACGGCTTTGAGAGTCAACAAAACATACACAAACAAAACCAAATTAAACCCTGCGGCTCATGACGATACATTGATGTGTAAAGACACGAAACGATGCCTTCTGTGCAAGTCTGTGCAAGAAACAGAATAATAGGCGGTAATGCACTTATAAGTCTGCGATCCGCTGTAAAGCAAGAAGAAGAAGAAGACGCGTCAGGCGCCGACTGTTGAGGACGCGCTCAGGACAGTTCAGACATTGCAGTGCATCAGAGTTAAAAAACGATATAAATACTGTTCAGTTTCTTGCACAGACAGATCGTTTCGTGTCTTTACACATCAATGTATCGTCACGAGCCGCAGGGTTTAATTTGGTTTTGTTTGTGTATGTTTTGTTGACTCTCAAAGCCGTGATTCCCATTCACTTCCATTATATGACTGACAGACTGCAACGGTTTGAGTTAAAAATCTTCGTTTGTGTTCTACTGAAGAAACAAAGTCACCTACATCTTGGATGCCCTGGGGGTAAGCAGATAAACATCACATTTTCATTTTTAGGTGAACTATCCCTTTAAGAAAACTTGAGAGATGCTTGTCTGTGCAAAACCAGCAGTTGCCAGGGCATTGTTTTGTGTTTGCTAGGGTGTTTTCTGGGTGGATGGTTACAGGTTTAAAATGGTCCACCTACAAGTCTCTGTGATATTATCATCATCCCTAAATATGCAACCTAGTCTCATTGGAAAAAGATACCTATCCAATTCACTGCAGTTTCCAGCTGAAATTAACACTAGTGGCAATAAAACACTAACAACATTTATGCCTTTTTGCGTAAACGATCCATTACAGGGGCAGATTTTCAATGAATAAAGACTTATTTTTGTGCAGTTTCTAATATAAAATAATGTTATGAGCTCAAAACACTTTTGACGGTGCATGGTTTGTAAACAAATACATTTTGATGTTGCATCAAATAATCAGCGTATATCTTTTCTGTTTAAACTTGCTCCATAGCTCACCTGGTACAATATTGCACTTGCGATGTGAAGCACTCGGGTACGAGTAACAAGAAAAGCTCAAAGACTTGTAAAGGCAAGCTAAAATTCCATGCAAATGCATTTTTAATCACACTTTTGCTTTTGTTAAATCTATTGGTTAGGATTTAATATAAGGTTTAGTTTAGGTTGTACGTTATTTTCAAATGCGATACAGCATTGACCTAGCATCACTCACCGGAAACTTCATTTACGTACAACAAACAATACAATAAAAAATTGCCAGAATGTTCATGTGTTTTGGAGAAAGCTGAATGCACTTTTGGTGCCACTCACTGGACATTTCACTTTGAATGTGTCACGAAATATGCAAGAAGCATCGTAATAGATCCATTTTGCAGGCATGTTTTCCCAGTGAGCTTAGGTTGGAAATATGCATCGCTCACATCGGTCCTTCAATGTAAGTCTAGCTGATTTTTTCGCCATTTTATCAGGTGAAAATCATATTTCTAATCAATTAAGCAACAGCACACAACAAGAAGACACAAGATTTTGATGTCTGGAGCATGCTCACATTGAGCTTTAATACTTCTGAAAAACCCCTGGCTTAGGTAGCACAACTAGTTAAACTAAGCCATTTAGCTGGGAGAGCTTGAATTTGACACTATTCCCTGACGTATTCGACTTTCCTCTGGGGATAAACTTAAAATGGCAGATGTGATCTTTGTGTGCGCGGTTGAGAACAAAAGGAACTGATTTCTGCCTGCCGGGGATGTGAAAGCAGTAGTTACGGTTTGCCAGTAGAGGGTCATTGTCCTCTAGTGGAGGGTATGCGTCTCTGCACCGTTGCTCTTTATAGTTTTCAGGTCGGCCCTTCAGTCTGGTTTTCATTAGAAACCACTTGGCTTAAGGCCTGACCGAATGAGGCAAGCTCGTACAATATTTGTGATGGTCAAATAAACACAGGCATTTTCAGACATCATTTATGATGACGGCCACCCACTAGCTGGGAGGGCAACAACAGCTGGGCTCAACACAAACCAGGAAGTAGGTGCATAACAGACAGCGTCACCCAAACACAGCGGATGTTTTCATAGACGTGTGTTTACAGAGAACGCCCACCGTTTGGTGCCTTCGCTCTGGCTACTCAGTGCCAGTTTGGGAAACCATGTCTTCATCGGCTGTAAAAAGAAGCCTAAAGAAGACCATTGTACTATTTACAAGTGCTTTACATTGAAATTCCGCTGACTATAGGAAAGAGAAATCCCTAATGAGATCTCTTTAGTACATCACTTTTTCTCCTAGACAGCAGTGAGATTAAATTGACAGCAAATGGAGAAACTTTTACTTAAAGGGACAGTTCACCTAAAAATTAGACTTCTGTCATGTCATTCCAAACCTGTTTGGCTTTCTTTATTCTGTGGAAAATAAAAGATGATTTATGATGATTTTGAAGAACATTTGGGTCCAAACAACATTGGACCCCACTGACTTTCAGTGTAAAAAACAAACACCAAAACATTTTTAAAAATCTTTTTTATGGCAGGAAAATGACAGAATTTTCATTTTTGGGTAATCTATCCCTTTAAGTCTCCTTATTTCTCATATGTTTCTCTTAAGAAAAAATTATGTTCTCAAGACATTAAGTCAGAGATCTCAATGTGAACTCAAACGTATCAAGTTCTCATCACTTTTATAGCTCTACATACAGCATTTACTCTTTATGACAACTATTCACTCATTGCTGTCTATTTTTTTCTAAGGAATTTTACGAGAAACGTGAGACAAAGTTGATACTTAAAATAAACCTTCCTGACAGCTCTATTAATTTAAAAACACCATTATATAGACTTTAAACCATCATAATTCTGCCCTGAACACAAGTATAACCTATTGTGTATTACTCAAATACAAGATAAATTAAATATTCAACTGGACCAGAGACATTAAAATTCAACTGCAACTATAATAAAGTCACATCAGCTTTAATACATTGTTTAAGCAAAAGCTATTTTAAGAACAATCATAAAATATAAATGTGCAGAAGACAGTTTTACTTTTGGGTAGGTGGATAATTACATCTGTCTGTGAGCGTTCAGACTTTGGCTTGAACCTTTTGGGGTGGCAGGCAATTTGGACAAATGAGGGATGGAGCAATCATACTGTATGACGGCATGAAGTTTGCTCACATTGCAGCTTATTCTGGCTACCAATTAAACGCCTCCGTAGACAGGAAGAGAACGTCTGAATGACACGTAAAATGACCAACCACAGTTTAAAAAAATGATTTTTTTTTTCTTTTAGGGGCGGGATTATCAGAAGAAGGTTGCACCACAATAATAGTCCAGAGTAAAATGTAAATAAATAAATAAATAATGGTACAGCATTCAGGTTGAAAGATCTATAAAAATGAAATCGTTTAAAAAAACATGCAATAATTGTGCAAAGATTAGGCTTACTTATTTTCAACCTGGAGCCAGACATTAACTTAAACATTAAAAAAAAAAATGTTTATATTGTTTCATCCAACGTAAGGTCTATATTTCCCAGAAAATACTAAGAATATAATATTAGAAAAAAATACAATCATATGTCTAGGAGAAATAATCAAGACATTTACGGATCTTATTATGATTGTGATTTATCTTTCCTGTGGCATGTACTTCAAAAAATGTCCCTCTGTTAATGATGATACCTAGAAGCTGATTTAAGAACCATACAGAAAAATGCCAAAATAGTTATTGTTTAGAAGGGATTCATGCTAAATCCCATATATTTTCATTTGCTTAAAAATATAACACCCTAGCAAGTTACCACACAGCAACGATCCGGAACAAAACCACATAGTAAAATAAAAGATGTTAAAATATGCTAAAGATGCTAAATCATCTGGCGTCATGATTCGATCAGAAATGAGACATATCGCTGTTTCTCAAATATATTAGAATTTTAATCAAAGCACAAACATGGTGTTTCGAGTGAAATATGTAGAGTATTTAATGGCTTACCTGTGTAAAGTGAACTTCAGATGTGATTCACATGATCTGATATGCTGAAGCAAGACTTTGGCTCAAGTCTTGTGCATGTATATTAAATAATGCGCTTATCCAAACGTTTTATTCAGGCCGTTATTTTGCACAAGTTGGCGGGAAATTTCAAATCCCTTGTTTTAGAGCTCTGGTTGATTGACAGGTGAGTAGACGGTGCTTCGCGATGCATCTGTGATTAATCTGACATAACACAAAACACATAACACAAAACATATTATTCCTCATTTTACATTCCACTTGTAATCAGGGGACATTGCATAAACTTAGCCTCTATGTTTAGTCAGTGTCTTAAAGGGGTCATATGATGCGATTTGAATTTTTCCTTTCTCTTTGGAGTGTTACAAGCTCTTGGTGCATAAAGAAGATCTGTAAAGTTGCAAAGACTAAAGTCTCAAATCCAAAGAGATATTCTTTATAAAAGTTAAGAGTCAGCCACACCTACCTAAAACGGCTCGTTCTAACACGCCCCCACATACCTACGTCACTATGTGGGAAGATTTGCATAACGCCGCCCAAATGTTCACGCAAAGAAAGAAGGCGTAACTTTTATTCTGGCTGTAGTATTGTTGCTGCCGCCATGTTGTGAATGCGCTGTGTGATTCGTTGTGAAAGCGAAACTACTTTGTTTGGTCTTCCAAAAGAGGATGATATCCGCTTCATCATGCCTGGAGCTGATCCGTGCTGGTCGCTGAGGAAATACTACAACTTTGCGCTGTGGATCGCCGGATCGGCTTTCACCGTGGACGAAGCGGAGTCCAGCCCGGGGTCGTCACATGTGGTTGCAGCAAGCCCTCCGGACGCTCCTTCGTCGAATCCACCGCCTCTGCTCACTCAGCCGGCCGGCCGTTCCTCACTTTATCCCCCGGTCTCTGCTCACTCTATAGGCCGCCGTGTGTGAGGTACGCTGGAGGTATTCGGCCAATCCCAACGCACTGGATAGCTGGCCAATCACAGCACACCTTGCTTTTTTAGAACGATGAGCTTTGTAAAAATCGACACGTTTCAGAAAGGCGGGGCATAGAGGAGAAACAATAATGTACAGTATGTGGAAAATAATGTGTTTTTTGAACCTTAAACCGCATAAACACATTTCATTACACCAAATACACAAAATAATGTTCTTTTTAGCAGCATCATATGACCCCTTTAAGTACAAGTTTGACCAGCTAGCAGTTAGCCAAAGGGTAATCAGTTTTATTTTTACTTTTTATTTATTTTTAAGCATAGACTAATCTACGCTTTTATGTAACTGAATAAAAAAAAAATATGACCAGTCTTAAAGAAAAAAATTAGCTGAATAACTTAAAACTAGTCTGCAACCGGCCCCAGTTCACGATTCGGTTCGATTTATGTAAGAAAAATCATGCTAGGAACCAAAAGACTATGGAACACCCAAGACGTGTCATTCGTATAGTTCTGAATGGGGGAAAATGCAACGCTCAAGAAAGCCCCGCCTTCTAAGTAAAAGAGCCAATCGCTAATCGGTAAAGTCAGCTCGTCACAGCAGTTGCCGTTAGAAGTCCCGGTTGCTATAGAAACACTCAGCGCTCTGAGACATTCCCTTAAGACTGCGCATGCGCACTGCCTGGTCTAGCTGAAAAATACACTTTTTAAACGCTATTAGAACATAAGAAACAACATTTATGAGACAGTTGTTGTCAGATTTCATTGGTGATTTAACATATGAAATTTAATCATGAGCTTAGCGAACAGTTTTGGAGAATTTGATAGCAACATTTGAAAAAAATCCAAGTTATGCAAAACTGCCATTATAATCACTGAAACTGCGAAATTAATCTCTTATTTACATAGTATTTGCACTTCGTGGTTTATCGTTGTTTATCAGCACAGAGAATTCAGTTAACGCGCGCACTCAACAAAACTCCGGCATTTTCAGCGCTGACTAACCTAAACGCATCTGATTGGCCATTGCATTCATAAACTCATCAGAAACATGTGTGATTGGTTAGAAGGCTTGACGCTGCAAAAACAAAGCATAAAAAAACAATCTGGTAGCGTGTGCAGATATAAATGTAATTCTGCGAATTGATCATTTTCACATTTCATTTGAACTGCGACAGCCATATATTTAGATTAATGATGGAGGGGCAATTTTTGCCCCTTTATCTTGAATTTGTGGTGCATTTTCTTCATTTTGGTGGCATTTTTGCCACAAGCCCTCCTTAATTTCTGACCCTGTGATTGTAACATCGGTAATTATTATTCCGTAAACTGAATAGTTGTGTAGCTTATGTCCACACCAGAGTGCATACAGCCAGTCTTAGTTGCTTCATATATTAAAAGTGTTTCCAATCAACAGCCTGACATCTACACTAGAGTCACCATAAAGACAGCACACTACTGCATTAGGAAACTCATGTCCAATCAGATCTGCTGTCCTCAACACCGAGCCAAGCTGAGCCTATAAATTACAGTAATAAATCACCCTGATAAGCCAGAACAATCTTGGCATTAGAAAACTAGAGGCTAAATTGCATTACATTATTTTAGCACATAATGTGAGCCAGTCAGGTTTGTAAAAGCAACAGCTATGCCAAGGACAAGTCAGAGGTAGAGAAGCACCTAGTGTCGTATCGTCATGCTCATCTTCTGTAATTATTGCTGATTAGGTCTTTTTAAATGTTTGTCGGTGGCTTTTCTTTTCTCTGATCTGGGCTCTGCTCCAGCGCTTGCTTATAAGCATCGATCAACACGCTTTGAAAGGGACATTTGTCTAATGAAGATGCCTGTGGCTTGTGACCCTGTCTGTGATGGGCGAGACATGAGAGTGCACTATGTAATGAAAGTCTTTTTATTACACAGGGACTGATGCCACGGAGGATGGAGAATCCCGGACCGAGGGGCAGTGACTATATTTCCCAAGGAAAACTCCAGAAACATCTCAAACCCCTTTTTCTCTCTCACACCCATGCGAAAAAAAGCTAGTTTGGACCAACTTAAAGTCTCCATGAAATGGCATTCACAGCTCAATTTACTTTCATAGTCTGATGTATTTCTTATTGAAACTCAGTGAGGAAACGTGTGAGTCATGTGGTTGGAGGGGCTGGGTCACAAAGCAAGAGGGATTTGTGATGTCAGCTGAAAAGGAAAGTCGTTTCAGAGGCGGAGCAAGTTGTTACATTTTGTTGAAAGATTATGAAAACAAGCATTTTTTAAAAATAAGAATAATGTGCATCAAGGAATTTTAAACAAACAGAAACGTGTTTTAAGAAAGTAAATAGGGTCAATTTTTTTTTTTGCAAATATATGCATTTAAAATGTACGTTTTTTTTTTTTTCCCTCCAGGAAATCAGTCCAAAAATATGGACTATGCATAGACTAGACCAGTGGTTCTCAATTCCGGTCCGTAGCAACCACATAGCAGCATTCTAAAAAGCCACTCACGACATAAAACCCTAGCAACTGCATAACAACACCTTGGCAACTGCATAGCAACATTCTAAAAAGCCATGCACAACATAACACCTTAGCAACCGCATAGCAACACAATAGCAACATTTTAAAAAGCCACTCACAACATAACACCTTAGCAACCGCATAGCAACACCTTAGCAACTGCATAGCAACTTTCTAAAAAGCAATTCACAATATAACACCTTAGCAACTGCATAGCAACATTCTAAAAAGTCACTCACAGCACCTTAGCAACCGCATAGCAACACCTTAGCAACTGCATAGCAACTTTCTAAAAAGCAATTCACAACATAACACCTTAGCAACTGCATAGCAACATTCTAAAAAGTCACTCACAGCACCTTAGCAACCGCATAGCAACACCTTAGCAACTGCATAGCAACATTTTAAAAAAGCCACTCACAACATAACACCTTAGCAACTGCATAACAACATTCTAAAAAGCCACTCACAACATAACACCTTAGCAACTGCATAACAACATTCTAAAAAGCCACTCACAACATAACACCTTAGCAACTGCATAACAACATTCTAAAAAGCCACTCACAACATAACACCTTAGCAACTGCATAACAACATTCTAAAAAGCCACTCACAACATAACACCTTAGCAACTGCATAACAACATTCTAAAAAGCCACTCACAACATAACACCTTAGCAACTGCATAACAACATTCTAAAAAGCCACTCACAACATAACACCTTAGCAACTGCATAACAACATTCTAAAAAGCCACTCACAACATAACACCTTAGCAACTGCATAACAACATTCTAAAAAGCCACTCACAACATAACACCTTAGCAACTGCATAACAACATTCTAAAAAGCCACTCACAACATAACACCTTAGCAACTGCATAACAACATTCTAAAAAGCCACTCACAACATAACACCTTAGCAACTGCATAACAACATTCTAAAAAGCCACTCACAACATAACACCTTAGCAACTGCATAACAACATTCTAAAAAGCCACTCACAACATAACACCTTAGCAACTGCATAACAACATTCTAAAAAGCCACTCACAACATAACACCTTAGCAACTGCATAACAACATTCTAAAAAGCCACTCACAACATAACACCTTAGCAACTGCATAACAACATTCTAAAAAGCCACTCACAACATAACACCTTAGCAACTGCATAGCAACATTCTAAAAAGCCACTCACAGCACCTCAGCAACTGTATAGCAACACCTTAGTAACTGCATAGCAACATTTTTATAAAGCCACTCACAACATAACACCTTAGCAACTGCATAGCAACATTCTAAAAAGCCACTCACAGCACATCAGCAACTGTATAGCAACATTCTAAAAAGCCACTCACAGCATAACACCTTAGCAACTGCATAGCAACATCTTTGCAACTGCATAGCAACATTCCAAAAAGCCACTCACAACACCTTAGCAACTGCAAAGCAATGTCCTAAAAGACACTCACAACACCTCAGAAAATACATTTAATTAAACAAACTGTCATTTAAAAGTGCTAAAGTGAGTGATAAATGTCTGTTGCGATATTTAATATGAAAATAAACAAAATTACTCATATTAATTTCCTCATTCAAATCTTTAGTAGGAAGTGACTGGAATTAATTTATTTTGAAAGCCTTTTCTTGGCTTTTGTCAACTAAGTGCAGTTTTGCATGGCTGTGACATAAACTAAAGACTATTGGGTATTTTAAAAAGGCACCAGTCTTTCATTATGTTCCGCCCCAACGTCCTGTTTCAATAGGAAATACATCAACACAGGAAAGAAATCTGAGCTCATCAAACCATTTCATGGGACTTTAACTGGTTTAGATGGACACAGTAGTTGTTTTTGAAGGTAGACCAGTGTATTATTGTGAAATATCCCAAAACATGCTGGTTATTTAGGCTGACTGAACTAGTTTAGCTGGTCAAGGGTCAGTTTTGGGGCATCTCTCTCTCTCTCAAGCTGCACTGTGTAAACCTTTTGGAACGAGCTGCCCTTCTTAACTAACCTGTGACCTGATATCTGTGTGTTTCTCCTTTAAAAGGAACACAACCAAGGAATAAGCTGCTTTAGGTTGGAAATTTACGACTTTATTACAGGGCCTTGAGCTCTCAATATGCAAACTATCGCCAGTGCTCATGTAGAGCTGAAAGACTGTGACTACCCAGCTAACAAAAATATGTTCTAAGAACGTTTTGCTAACCAGTGTTCGGTAAAGTTACTTTTAAAAGTAATGCATCACAATATTCCCTTACTCCATAAAAAGTAACTAATTTGATTACTTAGCTACTTTTTATGTAAAGTAATGCATTACGTTACTTTTTGTCACCTGGGCTGGGCTTGCTTATTTGATTTTTAATAACAGAAAACCCAAAAATGATATATATATATATATATATAGGCAACTGTAAGGGCCTTTTCGGGCCTTATTTGAAAAAGTAACTCAGATGTTTCATTGTAAATTTAAAATGTGTTACTTTCCTAGTTACTTGAAAAAATAATCTGATTACTTGTAATGCACCCCCAGCACTGTTGCTAACGTTCCCATTAAGTTATGAAAATCTTATTTCTGAATGTTCTCTGAACATTTTTTAACATTACTGGACAAACGTTTGTTCATAACCTTCCTTGTTAGCTGGGTAGACAATTGAAATGCCTAAAAAGAGGAAGTGTTTTCTGAATATTGTTATTATTTCTATTATTATTCAGACCAAAGATTAACATGATTTTTGTTCAGGGAGGCTGAAGGATCTAGAATTATGTTAAGCTAAAGCTAATAAACATTAACATTGCCTCAAAGGCAGCTCATAAAACCACTTCAAAGAGGTATACAGCTAATATCTGATAGTTTATACTTCTGGATTAATGTATAAGTGCAGTATTACAGCTGTGGACTGGAATTATTTAATCAGTATTTAAAGCCAGTATAAGCCATCTTTATAGACTGTTGCAATCATGTAGTGGCATTTTCACTCTGTGGCCCATAGAGGGCGCTTCAGACCACAGAACGGTGACGCCAATGACACGTGAATGTCTTATAAATGTGTACAGCTCACATGAAATAAAACATCAAGTGTTTAAATTAAATTCTCAGTGAGTTCTGATTTTATAAATAAAATGAATTTATAATTTCTAAACATTTCTGATTTTTGAAATATGAATGGTTTAATAGCCTATAATGATTTCTGAAGGATCATGTGACACTGAAGACTGGAGTAATGATGCTGAAAATTCAGCTTTGATCACAGCAATAAATTACATTTTACAATATATTACAATAGAAAACAGTTATTTTAAATTGTAATAATATTTCACAATATAACAGTTTTTGCTATATTTGTAATCAAATAATTGCAGCCTTGGTGAGCAGAAAAGACTTCTTTCAAAAACATGAAAAATTCTTACCGATCTAAAACTTTTGAACGGTATTCTAATACTATTTCCCTTTTCATTTTTTTTTTTTTTTTATAGCTGTATGGTTTGGGCCCTTTTTCCTAATGGCTTTCTCACATTCAGCATTTGTTCATGACAGTATTCCTCCAGTCTGACTAATATTTACATTATAATTTAGAGCTCTATATGGGACAGTATTGACAGCATCTGTGTCCCTGTTTATTTAAATCTTGTCTGAGAGTGTCCTCACTTCTCTCTGAGGGGCCTCTTCACATCCCAGCATGTGCCTTATGTCTTTTTATAACATTATTAAGAGATATATGCATCATAAAACAAAAATCAAACGCCTTTGTATGTCATTCAGCATCTGAAAGCCTATAAGAGAGAATGCTGGATCATATTTCATGCCAAAATTAAAGAAAATAAATTTTATTTCATTTTATATATATAATTTACTTTATAAACTTTTGATTTGGGGGTAAAATATGACCTGGACATGTTTTCATGTGATTCATTTTTTCATTATCATATACATTTTCCTAAGCCCTCATGCAAAACTGATTTAGAGCAGCATGTACTGACTAAAATGCTCATACATTTCATTGAATAAACAAAAACGGACAAGTTTGTCTAAATATGATAACTAAAATGTACATTTGAGTAAGACTAAGACTAAATTAAAAATGGCTGCCAAAATGAATACTGCTGTACGGTTAATTAATAATAATCTTATTACTAAAATGTCAAGTTTTCATTGACTAAAACTAGACTAAAATACTTTAGATTTTCTTGGACTAAAACTAGACTAAAATGTTGAGACTTTTACCCCCGGTTTCACAGATAAGGGTTAGTCCCAGACTAAAATGTAAGTCTGAGCTGTTTCAACTGAAAGAAACTTGCACTGACTGATCTTAAAATATATCAGTGCCTTTGTTTTGTCTCAAGATGCACACCAGAAATGTTTTTTTCTAAGGCACGTTTATAAAAAAATTACTTAAATGTCCTAATTGAACTATGGCCTAATCCTGGGTTAGTCTAAGCCCTGTCTGCGAAACCAGGTCTATATATTTTAATTTGCATTTTCATGAAAATTTTACAAATTCTCATAATTGTAATGCATAAAAAAAATCTAATTTGCCTTACTGTAATGCAATATATTTAAATAGTAAAAATATATTTAATTTGTGAAGTATTCACAGATCATGGTAGTATTTTTCTGCTGCCTTTAATTTATGCTTTTTCCAATACATATATATATA